GAGATGGGTTTTCGCTGCATGGCCCAGGCTGATCTTGCACTCCTGGTCTCCAGCAATCCTCCATTCAGCCATCCCAAAGTGCTGGGATGACAGACTTGAGACACTGTGCCCAGTCACTACTACCACAACCAGAACGAGCAGATCCGTCAAACCCCGCTGTAATAGTTCCCTCCAGCCACACTGATTGGTTTACATGTTCTGGAACTTTTTATAAAATGAAGTCACATGGTATGTACTCTTTTTTGGTCTGACTTCTATCACACAGGGCAAGTCATTGTTCTGAGATGCATCGATGAGGGGGGATTAAAAAAAAGCAAAACAGAATTTATTTATAAAAAGTTGTGTACATGGCTGGGTGCAGTGGCTCACACCTGTAATCCTAGCACTTTGGGATGCAGAGGTAAGAAGACTGCCTGAACCCAGGAGTTCGAGACCAGCCTGGGCAACTTGGTGAGACCTTGTTTCTACAATAAATAAAAAAAAGTAGCCAGGTGTAGTGGCATGTCCCTGTAGTTCCAGTCACTTGAAGGTTTAGGCAAAAGAATTGCCAGAGCCCAGGAGGTTGAGGCTGCAGTGGCTGTGAGTGTGCCACTGCATTCCAGTCTGGGTAACAGAGTGAGACTCTGACTCAAAACGCAGACAAACAGAAAATTGGGTTTTTATTCTTATATGTTTAAACGTCAGTCACCTTCAAAGTCCTCCCCATCTGATTCAACACACCTATCGAGATGCTTTTTCCACTGCTCAGTAGAGTTTTTAAACTCACCAACTTTGATGCCCTTGTGTTTCACTTCTTCCACACTGGCAGAATGTTTCCCTTGGAGGACACTTTTCACCCAGGAAACAAAAAAATGTCATTTGGGGTGGGACGAGGTGAATAAGGAAGGTGGAGCACCAGGGGTCATGCCACTTTGGTCAAAAACTGTAGTACACTCAGCGTGACGTGGGCAGGCTATTCGTGTAAACCACCCATCATGAAATGGGCAAGCATGCTCAAAGAATCTCAAAAAAAAAAAAAAATTCACTGAAGCCAAATGCAGTCTTTCACAACAGTGCTAGCTGTACACCGACATCAACAGGTTCCTAGAACACTTACCTAGCGGGGGAAGCCTGTACCACAAGGGCCTGCTCTCCAAAAAACTACTCCAATTTTTGGTCCCCCTCATATGGGGCCATGTCAAGTTTCCTGCTCTTTGCTGCGCAGTGTTCCCTTGTAAGAATATACCACAGCCTACTTATCTCGTGACCTGATGGGGGCACAGGGTTGTTTCCAGTTTTTGGCAATTGCAAACAAGCTGCTGTGAGCTTAGTGAGTCTCTGCATGGTCGTATGTTTCTCTGTCTAGCGGACACACCTAGGAGAGAGAGGGCAGGATCGCATGGTAGGTGCATGCCTAGCTTTTTGAAGCTCTTTTTCACATGGCTGTACCACTCTCTCTGTCCACCAGCAGGGCAGACCTTCCAGTTGCCCCCCTGTGCTAACAGGCAGAGGGTCCGTCTTCCAGATCTGAGCCATTCTAACAGATGTGCAGTGGTACCTCACTGTGGTTTTGTGTTTCTCTAACAACTAATGATGCTGAACATCTTCTCACACGTTTATTAGCAGCTATATATACCCTTTAGTAAAATATCTGTGGGTCTTTGGTCTATTTTCAAAAACAGCTGTTTTCTTATTGAGTTTGCAGAGTACTTTAAGATGTATTCTGAACACAAGTTCTTCATCAAATATGCAATTTGCAAATGTTTTCCCTGTTTCTTTTATCTTAGCTGCATCTCTCTTTTATTTTCTTAGAGGTAGCATCTTGCTCTGTCACCCAGGCTGGAGTACAGTGGTATGATCTTTGCTCACCGCAGCCTCAGCCTCCTGGGCTCATGATCCACCTCAGCCTCCCAGTGGTTGGGACCACCACCATGCCTGGTTGCTTCACTGTGTCTCTTGACAGCAAAAAAATTTCACTGAGGTTCAGTCCATCGACTTTTTCCTTTATAAACTGCTTAGTGTCACATCAAAAAACTCTTGGCCCAACCAGAAGTTGATGATCTCCTCTGATGTTGTTTTCTAGAAGAGTTATTGCTTTGGGATTTATATTTAGGGCTATAAATCACTGAGAGCTACTTTTTGTATTTGCTGTGACATATGCATCCAGGCTCACATTTTTTGCACGTGTAACGCAACTACAGATCAATTTGGGTACAACAGGCATCTCAATGATGCTGTGCCTTCAGACCCATGGCACGTACATAGTATCTCTCTCCATTACTTAAGTCTTCTGTTGATTCCTCATCAATGTCTTGTAGTTTTCTGGAGACAATCCGGCACATCTTTTGTCAGATTTATCTATAATGTTTAAAACATTTGGATACTATTTTTTAAAAAATTCAACTTCTGAGTGTTTATTAAAAGTATACAGAACCCTGTAATCCCGTGCCTTTGGGAGGCTGAGGTGAGTGAATTGCCTGAGCCCGCGGGTTCGAGACCCGCCTAGGCAGCGAGACCTCAT